TTTTTATAGCATTTGAATTATTTGAGARGGGTAAGCTCAGATCCTGCTTTTGCTGGGTGCTGTACAAAAGCAGAGAGAGACTGAAACAACAGATAGTCTAAATGGATCAGGGAAAGAAAGACAGGAAGAAAGATAGAAAGACAGAAAGAAAGAATAATGAAATAATATTTTGCATCTTTCAGGAATGGAGATCTGAGACACCCCAGCTTTCTGTCCGAGACAGAAGGTCCASTCGTGCCCCTTGCTAAGGGAAACCCAGGGCTTACGTTTCGAAAGCAGAGCTGCGGTGCTGCCTCCGCTCCACACTGCTTCTGGTAATCTGCCCAGTCGAAGTCCTGGCCAGAGTAACCTGTGGGAGGAGAAAACAGAGACCACCATGAGCCACCGCCACAGGCGGGAGTTGGAAATGGGCGTCGAGCCAATGACTGCTTGGGTTTCATCATCCCATCACATGCCAGTGAAGATGGAAGCATCAGTCTAAAGCTTCTGGGAAGCAGCTAATTGCTTGGGAAGCAGCTATTTGCTATCATCCTTAATTTCCAGAGAGGAAAGTCCTTCCCCAGAGGATGTTGGGTGGAAGGATGTGTGTGACCAGTCCATCCCATCCAGCCCTGAGTTTGGTCCCTCTTGTCTCATCCTCCCTGCAGAAGGGACACAGCTGGATGTTAGCCATGGGCACCAATTCCKAGAACCACTCTGGATTCCTGTTCAAACATCATTAAAGCCAACATCTCTCCAGTCTCTGGTCACACACCTCCTGCCTTTCTCCTAGGGACTGAAACGCAGAGTACAAAAACACAGGAAAGGGATAGAGATCAGCTAATCTACTAGCTACATGCCACATTCCTGCCCCAGGCTCTTGTGACGGATGCTGTCCTCCTACACATAAAAAGAGGATGGTCCCTTCACAGGCAACACCTTCAGCCAAGGTCAACACATGCACACAGCAGGCAAATGGGAGAGGAAATCCTTGCTAACCATATCAAGGCAAACTCCAGGTCTTCATTAAAAGCTGATGAAGGATCTTTATTTCCCTTATTTTCCCTTTCCTCCAAGCATATCATAGGCTTTAATAACGCCATAATAATGAGCAAAGATGTGCTACTGTCTCTGCTTACCATGAGAGACTAACCACGGGCTCCTGTCTCCTTTTTTAAGCTACTAAAAGTTACAGCTATCGAAACCAGATGTCAAACGTCCCCCTCAGCTGAGAGGTAGAGAACCAGTAGACTTAGAAGCTGATTTATCCTTCATCTCTTAGGATGGGATAAATAGTCTTCTCGGTGACTATGGAAGGACCCTACTGAGTTTTCAGCAGATCAGCTCACGTAAGATGAGTCCCATCACACCAAACATCTTATCCAGAGCTGTAAAAGGAGCAGAGCAGGAAGAAGAACACAGATTTCCCACACCCTAGGCTACAATCTCATCAACCAGATAATCCTTCCAGCTCCTAGATTCCGGGAAAGGTAGAAGCAACACTGATTTAGAGACTAACACAAAGAGACAAACCAGAGCTCTGCTCCTCTACAGCTCTCATCTGGCTATTTAGGCAATAAACTCTGGGACAGAGATTTTTATTTTTCTGACTGACTCTCAGCCTATGTTTTATAATACCCAAAACAAAAGAGTGCTAATCCTGGCCAGGGGCCTGAGATGATGCTGCAAAAATATTATTGCAGGACCAAGTGCACTGGAAAGTTTCATAAGTAATTTAAAGGCCAAGTTCTCAGCTCAACCTCCCTATGTGGCATCTCAGCTTGGACTTGATCTCATTGAACACCCCTTAATGTCACTTTCATTGATAGGCAAAGAGGGACAACTTAAGTTCACATGGAAATGAATATTTTATGACAGTGAAAAATTCTATTTTTTTCTGCGGGGGGGGGGAAAAAAAAGGAATTCTGAGGGGACTTTGCCTATCAGTCATCCAGATTTAGAAAGAGGAGGCAAAGATATTCAGAATAAACCCCCAAGCATCCTGTCAAAAGTATGTGAGATAGGATAAACTTTCAAATTTTAATGACTGTGTKCATGAAAAATAAATAGAAGACAAAACATTGAGCACAGAGGTTCCCAAGATAGTAAAATTTGATAATGGTAGGAAAATAGCAAATCAAGAGGAAAATAAGAAGTGGGGAAAAAAGACAATTGCTGATAAATAATCTTCATTTCTCATTATACAAAAATCCTTGTACATGCAGTCCTTCACATATATTAACACTAGATTGTTACACTATTTTTTTTCCCCATCTCTTCTACATCCTATGTTCCCCCTCCTTCCATTTTTTTTTTTTGTCTCTTCCGCTTATTTGTTTGCCAGGTAATTTTCAGCTTAATAAAATGAAATAGAAAACTGAAGAAGTCTAGATAGATCACTCTGGATCAGAAGGGGATTCCTCTGACCAGACACAGATGTTTGCAGTGGAGGTGCCTATTGCTGAGTGACACCCTGGGATCTCCCAGCAGTTAGCGGAGAAACAAGCACATCCAGGTGTGATCTGTCTGTCCTCCTGCAGAAAGGGGTGAATTTATCCCTAAAAGTTCCTCTAGTGAATCTTAATTGCAAGCTAGGCAGAGTCTTGGCAAAGCAATGGGGGAAAAAAAGGCTTGTGGACACAATTTCAGCTTAGTATTATAATCATCATACAAGCACCTGTTGACTTAGCTCTGCACCATCAAAATCCCTAGGAGACCTTGGACCTTTTTCCATGAACCTAAAGACTCAAATGAATTGTGCAACTCCATCATTACACCCTGTTGCACTTAATGACTCAGTACAAGCAAATGGGCAACACTTTACTTGCACGACTCTTGTAGTCCTCCCCAAGCATGCAACACTTCCTTGCATTTGCTGTCAGTTAATGTCAGTTCTCAGCATGGAAGAACTCAGGAAGCTGATCAGAAGCAAAACCCCAATGCAAACATACTGGTGGATCTGGAAGCAGCAAATCCTCAGCAAACCTTGCATCTAGTAGCGCTACTGAAATGTTTCTCTAGTCCCTCTTAATAGCTCATAAAAAGGAACAATAGTTGATACTCAAAAGGAAAGTGGTCTATAAATCCAGCTCTAATAAATATAAACACTGCTTGCTCAATGTTTATACAGCAGCAGTAAATGGGTATTCATATTTGGCACCRTACAGCAAAACACTGCTCTCTCTTTCTAGCAGCAAATGTTTGCACCTCCTGTTCATGACTCATTTACAGGAGGGTGTAGCAAATGCTTGAAGCAAATGCTTAAAATACAAAGGCAAGAAGACAAAAAGTGCTGGAAACCCAAATAAGCCAACCTGCCACACAGTCCTTGCGAAATCAAGTCAGCTAATTTTATAAGCACAGAACCTCTTTGTCAATCACGGCTAACAAGAACAAAAAAATCCCAAGAACAACACAGAAATTTGTTTTTTCCCCCTCCACAAAGATAAAAAGAGGATGTCTGTAGGGTTGCACTGTCATCTTCTTCATGGGAATTTCCAGCTTGCCACAAGGATAGCTGCAGGGGAAAGACCAAATACTTCTGCAATATTCTCTGTGGAGGATAATGCTGATTAGAAATGTCTGAGCACTGGGGAAGCAGTGGTCTGGTAAAAGCCATGTGCTAGAATGGGTAATTCTGAAGACTCCAGGGTAGTCAGAGCCATTGGATAGTTTTGGTGGAATAGGTTGGATCCTCCTTCTCTTCCTCCTCCCAGCGCAGCCCTGCTCATCAGTAGCCATCTCACCACACATCCATCCCCACTTCTGCAGTATTTTAGCTCTCTCACATCAGTGCTCCTTATTTCTTTTGCAAAGCTCATATTCTCCAGCTCAGAGCAGGCTGGATCCCTCAAAGCACTTCACTGGCTTGGGTGCACTCTACTTTCCACCAAGCTTTGCCCCAACAAATCATTCAGAAATCACTTGGGGATCTAATCACAGTGACACAAAGAGCATCTCTGCCAATGGAGAAGGCTTTTGACACCCAACGTGTGAGGATGTAGCTTGGGAACACAGCTGCAGAAAGGGAAGGATGCAGCTTGGGAACCACAGAAAGAAATACATAGCTCATATTTATSTGCCATGTTCTTGCTATATCTTTTAATAGCTTCATGCCAGGATTTCTAATCTGACAGCAGAAGATTGACATAATTTTGATCAAGGGAGCAAAGGCAGACTTTGCATGCTGTCTCAGCAGCCCCTTGCAACCTCAGTCCCCAAGCATTAACCCAGACATCCACTCAACTTTGTGACCACAGGTGGCAAGTGCTTGCAAAAGCATCATCAATGATGCACAAAATTAAGCGGGACACAGAGAGAGCATCCACAGAGCAAACCATTTCATCAGACTTTGGCAGGAATTTAAAATTACATGTGCTGAAAAGACACGCTGGAAGCACACGACAGGACTTTGAATCTAGCAGAGCTGGGCCCAGAATAATCCTTCAACAGAATAACAACAACAGAATAATCCTTCATTTCTTTGGGAYTGGCAAGGGAGTTATTTTGTTTTTCCAGAATGCATACATAAAATTTCACTTTTTTATTGAGGCACTTCTTTTCACTCCTAAGCAACACTATTTTGTGGGGCAAAGAATCAAAATCCTGTCCAGCTTCAAAAAACTAATTCAACAAAGCAGACACTTTTTGCAAGCAAAGAAAAACTGCTAGGACACTGCAGGTGCTTGTCTGAAATGGCAAGTAATTAACTGTGCTGCAGCCAAGTTGGGAAACACCACGGTCAGAGACCATTTCTGCTGGCTCTGATCTGAGCACTGATCAGGATTTGCCCTCACCTGGGATCTTCTGAGATGGCTAAAGAAACACCCCCACACATCAGGTATACAGGTGTGATTTTAGTTGTAGTACATGCTGATGTCCAACCAGAAGACTCTTATAGATATGGAGTATGTCACCTGGGCTCGATGCTACACCCATAGGGGAGAAGAGTGAGGTAGCAAAGCTCTGCTTGGTCTCACTGACCATCCTAATGACCAWCTCCCCATCTTTCCTTCTATAAGACATGCTCACCATCTGTTTTATGTGTTATCATGAGTTCTTGCTCTACAACATATCGCTCCATCCCTTGGGTGCAGGGAAGGGCCCTACAGACAGAGGGTCAAGGGGGTGGAATGGCCCTCTGACACCAGCCCAAACAGCAGTGACCTGAGCACAATCTGCACTTACTCAACACATCACCCTCTATCTTGGCATAGCAGATATTAATACCAGGTAAACATCCCTTAATGTTCTTTCTGCTTTCTCAACAAAACATCTCCAAGATGCATTCTGCAGGGACTCACTAGCCATTGGTAGAGCCTTCTTCTGCCTGCAAAATATAGACAGAGACCCCACCATGAGATGCATCTGCAGAGACGTTCCCTGGCTGATGCCAACTGAGCAGCTCTTGCGACTCAACAGATCCCCATCAGCTTGCAATAGTTAGAGGAATGTTCTCAAGTAAACAGCAAAAATACAGGTTTAAAAGCATTAAAAACATGCAATTTTCCTTTGGAGAAGGCCCATGGAATCACTGAGAAATCAAAACAGYGCATACGAACCCTTGGGAGGTGTGAGATTGACTCCGTTTTTAAGGCACCACTGTATTGGCAAGATCCCTAAAGAATCTGCATGGCAAAGCATGGAGATTTTGCTAGGTTCAGATCGCAAGTCGTCAATGGTCACTTGAAAATAATGATTGTTAAAAACCTAGGAGGAGAAAAAAAAAGGCAAAAGTTAAATCTGCAATAACATTGATCTAAGTGCACATAYAGTCTCCTGGTAAAGCTTGTAGGACAGAAACAATCCACTGTGGAGGACACGTCCATGGATTTTATGTTTTTTAATGCTGTTTCTCAATGTGTTCTCCAGACAGTGAAATTCCACTGGAGTTCTTCTAAAAGTGGTCAGCAAGATATTCCTGATGAACCTTTTCGTCCCTCCTCTCTGGGAGCTCACCTTGGTCACTGATGCAGGACAGATATTAAATGGCTCCCTCATATTCACCGCCTCTAGCTGCATTCCCACGGTGAAGAAGTGGCTTCTCAAATCAGCGTGGTCCTGCRGGAAGAGACGAGGAAGAGGAACACAAAGGTGTCAGCACCATTCATAACAGAGAGGCCAACAAGAAGGAAACATCCCAGCATTTCTTTTTATCTGTCACCAATTTGCTGGGATTTTGTCCCCTAGCTGGGGACAAGATTTACAAATTTTACAAAACTTTACAAACAAAATTTAGAAATGTTATCAGTCTGCTCCCCTGTGGTGTACACACACTACATCTGTGTGCTCCCAGTCCTCCCGTGAGTTTAAATGTTATCTTTTCAAGTTAGTTCAGCTGCAAGAGACGAAGCCTGGACAGCTTGGTTTCTGAGGGACAGAGCTTCAGGACCAAACTCAACAGATCTCAAACACCACGATCCATCAACCTCACCTGCTGTGCCTAAACTCAGAGATCAAGGAGGTCGTGCYCACCAAAGCAAAACCTCTTCTGGCACATTTAGAGAAACAGCTGAAAATCACCCCTGGGCAAAAACTCTTCACCAGGAGGAACTGCTGCCAGCCTCTGCAGCCCAAGAGCAGTCCAGAGGTGTCAGGACTGCAAGCAACATCCTGGGCGATGCAGTACAGGATGGGCAGACTCATGAGAGAGTGGCTGCTTCCTGTAGGAGAAGGTAAGTGCCAGTGCTGGTCTCCAGGTAACAAAGATGGAGATCTTCTCTACATCTGGAATGCCAGAGGTAGAACCTAGGTTCAGTTACCCAATTTTCCATGTTATTTTGCATCATTTATTAGATAACTCATCCCATTGCAACACCAGCCTAAAAGGTAGATAAATTGGTATCTTAACTCCAAAGTAAGTAACAATAGCATTGTTAATAGCAATAATTTGAATGAAATGTCCTTAGAAAATCATCTGTACATTAACCAATGCTAATATGAACGGAGATGTTAACACACATGCACAATGAAATCCAAAATACACACAAAAAACTTACTGATAAGCTGTTAGCAATGTCAGTCCCATCTACATTCATTGCTACATGCTGTATTCTCCTTTTAAAATGATTTTATATTGATCTGCARTTGTACATCATTATACTTTCTTCCCTCAGGTCTTACCTGTARATGTGACCACTTCTATTTTGGGAACTTGCATTTCTAGCACCATTAGAGATAAAGATTTTTGCAATTTTTACAATTTCTATCAGCTTTACACTGAGCATGTTTAGTGGAATAAAGGAAAGAGAATCTAGCTCCTTGTAAATAAGAGTTGGATAGTACTTGGGATGCATCAGAGATGCTGGTTACCAAAATTGACATCTTTCCTACTGAAAAGGTTTTGTCTAGGAAAACACAGTGGCTGCAAGCTTCAGACCTCRCATGAGCACTGAATTTCAAACCAGCAAAGACAGAGAGCGTCCAGACAGGCATCCTTCACTGCAGCAGCATCCCCATTTGGAAGCATCTCAATCCTTGGGATGAGGTTATAAAGAAAAGGCTGCTTTGCAAAATGAACATCTGGAAGCAAGCGACATCTTCACATCAAAAGATCTAGCACTTAATTCATTCTTGTATCTGGTTTCAATATATAAAAAAACTAGATCCACCAAAGTACTTAATCATGTTTATCTTTAAACATGCAAGTAGTTTCATCAACTTCTTAAGTSATTTGCTGATTGAGGCGGAAGTACTTAAGCAAAGTTGCTTCTCACTTTTACTTGAATCCGTTTCTTTGGTTCCGCTGTTTCTACTTGCTTTGGCCTTTTTCAAAAGGAATAAATAATCCATAGGGGAAAAAAAAAAAGGAAAATAACTTTTAAAGCAATTGTACTTCAATTATACTTCAAAAGCATATTTCCTTGTCTCCATACACTATATATATACTAGAGTCAATCTTCTCAATTCTTCCTCCTCACTCACCACAGCACGCAGAGATCATTCCTGTTAGATGAATAGCAAGAGTAAATTCTCAAAGGGAATTCATGGTACTTCGGGTACCTCTCCCTTTCGGGAGTCAAAATTCTTCTTGAAGCAGGAACGTATTTTTGTTTGAGAAAGGGTTGTAGAAATAAAATTCAGTCTTAATTGTCATTTTTGAGATGGGGAAGTGTTCAGAGAGGAAAAGTCTTTGCATCATATCTCTTAGAAAAGCGGTCAGGGTCTGAGTATTTGATCTCCCTTGGGTATTTAAAGGGAATCACCAACCTCAACAGAAACAGACTTCAATTTCTGCAGACAAAAGGAGAAAAAACATCCTGACACTTCTGCAGCTCCAGGGCCACAGTTGTCTCGGTCAGCAGGGAATTACTTAGAATGCGGCATATGCTCCTCTTCAAAACTCCAATTAATTTACATAATTTCTAAGAATAGGTTCCCCTAAAGTGAAGGCAGGGCTTTTAATTAGTATTAGCCTCAAAATGAAATACTGATTAATGAACTGCTCTCTCTCCTTCTCCTTTATCCACAGTGACACAGGACTGCTTAATAAAAAGGACTACAAGGGGAAGAGTGCCCATGACACTGCTTATGCTGTGCTCTTCCCCGCTTATTTCCATCTCAATGGAGGTCCTGGTGTTTGAACATTCCTAGTTCCCAGATATTGATATAGATATTGAGAGCTGAATGATTTTCTCCTCTGTATCTTTTGAGTCACAAGCAGTAGAGGTTTTGAAAATACCATGGTGGCTTGGGAGTCTAGATGTCCAAAAACAATGTGGAAACAGATTTACAAAAATATGTAGACTCTGAAGGATCCAGGTGGGATTTTGGAAAGGGCCTCTGAGGACTACAGGCCTAAGATAATAAAATCACTGGCCTCCACTAAGCACCGGCACTAGGTGCCTACTTCAACAAATACTCTTCAAAAAACACAGCAGAAWTTTACAGCTTTTCTCATGTAAGTACATTGATAAATCCAACATTTGGTTATGTCTACTCAACCAAAAACAATTMAGTGTGGATACAATCAAATCCATTTAATGTTCATGTGTCCATGCAGTAGCAGTGGTCCAGCCACCAAAGGATGGAGCTCTGATACCTTTACACTCCACAGGGCAACAAAGAGCAACAGAATTTGACCAAACTGCTTTTGAACGTGGTATTTTGGGAAGCTGTACAACAAGCTGGTTACTCCTGCTGTTCCCACTATCCAAGAAAGAGCATCTCCTTCTGACCTGTGAAATGTTTATTTGTAGCCCATCTTGCTCAAGACACAACACTAAAGATCATTCTAGATCCAGCAGCTTGCACAGCTCACAGTTCAAGACAAACAACAACTAATTTTAAACAATTTTCAAATGCTCTAAAATTCAGAGCTCTTGTGGTCCACACTAATTACAAGACTGAGACATTGTGCAAAATTCAGGACTAAGCCTGAGTGCTGAAAAGGTGCAAACCGAGAGGCTGATTAGAAACAGTGAACAATTAATAGATGGCTGAACTAAGGCTCCTTTAATTCCTACCAGCTGTAACCGTACAAAATTCTATTGCCTTCAATCACATCTCCCAGTTTACCCTACCAAAAGATGCAGAAAAAGCAGGCCCCATCTGGTATAATTGGAAACATAATATTTGATTCAGTTTTTATTTTGAAAGTAATCGCTTCCCCCAGTGTTTTCCCTAATTCCCCAAGAAACTGGCTGCTTCTAATAGCCTAATTTTAATCACAAAGCTCATGTGTGGTAACCAGTCACAAACACTGCAATAGCAGTGGTTAAACTGCCTCTACAGGAATCTGGCATTTATTTTTTAATTGAGCAGGAAAAAAAAAAAAATCAAGAGAATCCTCCCAAAACACAGTCCTCTGCATTATTTGCAGATGACTCGCTATTGTTTGCAGTTCATCAGCCTCCTTTGCTAAACACAGCGCTATTTTCCCTGAAGACACCCTCTCTGTAAGGAGGCAGAAATTCCCCTGGTAAGACACAATGTGAGCAAACACATCAGTGCAACTCAGGGGAGGCCAAATGTAGAGATGCTGAGGTGGGATGAAGAGGAAAAAGTGATGGGGAAAGAGACATTAAAGGTATTTTGACCCCAAAGTTGAAGGAACCTGTTGACAGCCAGCAATGAACTCCATCTACCAAAGAGCCCCTGAAAAACGCTGCATGCTTTCTGCCTTAGGACCAGATCCAGTCCGATGGATTTTAAGCTTCTCTTGTTGAATAAAAATAAGTTTCCATAGAAACAGCAACATTGCAGAGTAGCCAGCCTCAATCCAAAGACACCTTCTCCGTATGGATTGTCTGGCTGCAGATGGCATCAGGGCAAAGACCCCTCCTGTGCAGCACGTGCTTTCGCTGCCCAGGCGGTGAAAACAACGGTGGCAGAGGTAGGGTTAAAAGAGATGGATTTGCATCCACTTTATATGGCTTCCAGCACAATTATAGCATTGGGAACCTGTGGACAAAGCAGCTTTGTTCCCAAGCATTCAGCTTAGATGCTCTTAACCATCAGCATCTCAATTTGCACCCCTCAACAAGTACCAAGGTAAGAAAGAGGGAGCCCTCATTGCTACTTGTTTGGACCGAGTCTGCTCTCATTTATGTCATGTCAGTAAAAACTATTAGTGAATTCCCACTGATTTCTCAAAGGAGAGAAGATCATGACAAACTCAGTCAGGTCCTAGGGGGCCAGAGTTGTCTTCTCTTTTTTCCAGGACAAATCATCCATCAGATGATTTGGATAACTCTTGAGTACCACTATTTAAATGGGATGAATCTAGTGCAATTAATCTAGTGCATGCAAGCCTTCTGCACCAGAGAGCATTGCCATGTCCAAGCATGCTGAAGAAGGCAGAGCTTGGGTCTTTACCCAAATGCTTCTCCACACCAAGCTGGAATAGAGCAAGGAAACTGGAACATGCCCTTTGCTAATGTCTCCACGTGGCTAGAGACCTCTGGCATGGACCAAGAATGAAAAACGTGCGTGCTAAATGCACAGTCTGAGGGATGGGAAAGGCAGCAGGCTGTGGGATCCTGTCCCCATTCAGCCCATCTGCTGCACCTGAACGCCATCCAGCATTCCTGCTCAAATCCCTACTTTCATATGTTGCTGCTGAACAGACCCTGAGGGCATCTCAAGCAGGGTTTGGGTTTTTTTTTTTGTCTTCATGGCTTGCTCTCCCATTGGAGACATCTCCCGTTGGACGTCCCGTTGGAACGTCATGAGTGTCCATGGACCACAGAGTGACCATCAGACCCCATCTTGGCCCCATCATATTGATAACAGAGACATCTGAGCTCCCAAAAGCCACCACAGAGGTGCATTTGTAAGGACCTTTGTGAGATACTCTTCATGATGTTTATCAGTCCTATAAAGACAAGCACCTTAATGAGCTGAGGCCAACGTAAGTCAAGAGGCAACAAGAAGAACCAGATTTGGTATGTGCCTCCCAGCCAGGGGAAAATAGCAGCCAGGGAGAAGGGTTGGTGAACACCATGGATGGCAAAGAACAGATGGAATATAAATAATCTGGCAGCCTGTAAACGACGTGGCAACTTGTGGATCATTAAAGCACAGCACGCACAGCACAGGCCAGCCAAGCCATCAGCGCATGGAGAAGCCACAAGAGCCTGCACTGGAATTTGGCTTCCAAGCAAAACCATGCGCATGCAAGTTAACCTGCAGCATTTGCACATGTCCCTCTATTACTGGGGCTGGAGCCAAAAAAAAAAAAAAAAAAAAAAAAAAAAAATCCCTGCTGGACTTCTACGTCTGTCCTTCTGCCTGGATCAGGACTGAGCAAAAACTCCTTGAGTTTCACTAGCTACCAGAGAAACTGCTCCAGAAGAGTCCACTAATGGAAGGAAATACCTTCCAACACTTCATAAATTTACTATGAACTTTGAGGAGATAATATTGTCCTTCTTTTAAGATAATCACAACTTTTAGGAAATCTGAAACTCATACCTGAAAACATCCATTTCAGTTGACGGGAAGAAAAAAAAAATGTATTTGGGATATGCAGACAAGTACTGTTTAACATTTTTCCTCCTATTTTCAAATCTACAACCAGAACCCAGCCAAGACTTCTGGAAGCAGCTCCTATTTCAGTCATCCCTTTCCTTAGGAGACATCCTAGCTGACATACCCACTATTCAAGACTATTTGTCCTTGCACTAATTAATACAGATCCACAGCAAAAACATCCATTAGAAATACACTACACTGGGCACAGTGCAGGACAAGGTTTATTTTTTTTTTTCTTTTGCCAGAGAAATAATAATTTCCAGTAACAAAACAAAACACCAAAACAAACAAACAAACAAAAAAAAAAAAAAAACCAAAGAACCCACAAACAACAACAACAAAAAAAATACACCCAAGCAAATGAACAAAAAAGCAGGTCTGTGAAAGGAAGACTGGAAGGGTGGAACTGAGAGGAGTAAGACCAAAATGACCTACTAGGTATAGGTCAGAAGTAGGAAAAGTACTTTTCCTCCTACTGGTTTGTGCTTTTGGAGCAACTGAACAGAGTTTGGGTTGCAAATGTGTAGGAGACAGCTCCACCAGGGAAGTCATCAGGACCCACTTTACAGCAACTGGAGAGAAACCTGCACCTAGAGGATGTCCATATTGCCCATATGCAACACCTAGAGAGTGATGAGACACATCCCACTCCCCAGGCAGGACTGAGTGGCCCACACAGAGGTGTCTCGGATGGATCTGAGATACTTCGTGTAGCCCAAAACTGCTATATGAGGCCAGCACACAAAGGAGACTRAGATCCCCAGGGCAACAACTACCTCTCTGGGGAACCCAATCCCATGATCTAGYCCCGCTTTCCTCTTACTGAAGCTGCAGAACTCTGCATCTAAAAGAAATACACTGCTTCCTAAGTCCTATGGCTRAAAGGTCTGGCTTTCTCATGCAATCTCCCTTTAAAAGCACTAGCAAGGTCATCACTGAAGCAAGCACTGATGGGGTAAAGCCTGACTTTAAATTAAGCCTTGACAGTAGTCCAGTCACCTTATTCTATACCTAAAGCCTTGAGCAGYTTCTCAGGTGACCTCTGAAACATGAGCCATAGTTTGTAATGGATACTCAGCTAAGCTTGGCCACTGCTGCAGGAGAACAGGACATCTATCCTTGGGTTATGGCCTTTCAGAAAGATTTATGCTCCCTAAACCCTTGAAAATCCTGTCTTTACTTAGGCTTCTTTAAGGATCAACATGTTTCCTGAAAAGAAGAGGATGACAAAACACTGTGTTGCAAAGCACTTTCACAAAGGAAAAAAAAAATATATACACACACACACACTTATTCCAGGACGTGCAGTTTGCAAAACACTATGTTTAGTCATTATATAATAGCAACATTTTCTGGCAGTTACACATCACATTCCTTCTCAAAGGACTTCGAAGCATTTTGAAAACACTTCCAACATATGGCCAAGTGTAAAATAGCACTAGAAATAAAGACATTCATCTCCGCGGCCTTCCTCATGCTTTGCAACTGGCTTTTGTGGCCCGGGGGCTTGTGACCTCTGCTTGGAGGCTCAGAATGTGAACTTTGGCTGTGCCATTTCCTTGCTCTGAGTTGAAGCTTCCCCAAGGACAAACTTGGAATCGACTTCTCTAAAAAACTTCCAGACCAGATGGTGAGTAACATCATACACAAGCACTAACAGGTGCTAAGTCCTTAAGAGGAGCTACTTGCTCCACAACAACATGGATCCGCTTTTCCAGCGCAATGAAACAGGATTAGTATTCCTGGTTGTGGATAACTTGAATGACACCAGGAATTTGAGTCTCAATCTGGAAAAGCAAACATGCAAGGACACTTGTGTCTGCAGAACAAGCACCACATTCTCCTCGCCATAGATTTCCACAGAGGCTGGATGTAGTTGCTCAGTGTGCAAGATGCCATGTCCACTCGAGTAAACATTTCTAGCTTTCCAGGAAACCAAGATCAAACCCTGTGATTTGTATCTCATCTAACACATGACAAGAGCAGAACAGAGTTCCCTGGCACTGTGCAGAGACATTAGTTTTGTGCTAGTTTTGGAGAGGAAAAAAAAGGCACCATTGGAATCAACACTATGTRCCATGATCTGGGATTCCCCTCGAAAGGAAGATATATATCAACTTATCTTGTAGATTAGACTTCACAAATATTTGCTCTGTCACGCTTGCACAGACCTTCACAATGACAGGACATCGAGCGGTTACCCTCTTAAAATACAACTAAGGAAGACAGGATGGAGCAAGGCAAGAGTTGAAATAGCTCTGAAATCTCCCAGCAGAGCGGGAAATTCTGCCCATGGATGAGAGGAGGCCTGCAGATGATCCCCACATCTGAACCTCCCCCTGGTTCAGCCCAAGGCAGCTCTGCAGACCAAAGTCTGCCAGTCCAATGCATTCAAATTTCATCTCCTGTCCTCAGATGTGCTCCCAAGCAGATTAAATGTATTAAACATTCTGCTTTTCCGAGCACAGAATCAGGGACTTAGATATGATCCCATGTTGAATTTAGCTCCCCTTGTGTTGAGCTTTCACACTGCAAATAAACAAGCCCCATTCCTGCCTTTTTTTGTTGGTTATGCATGAGAGTCATACTCCTGGATCAGGGATGCTTTGCAWCCAACATGTTGCACTGGCCCACAAAAGGAACATGCTTGTGAATCTCCAACCATAGGATGCTACAACTGGAATTTGCAGAGTTTAAATTTAGCGCTCTTGTACAATAATCATARAATCATAGAATCACAGAATGCTTAAGGCTGGAAGGGACCTCCAGAGGTCATCTAGTCCAAGCCCCCTRCACACGCAGAGTTACCTAGAGCACATAATGAAAATAAATGAATATAAACTGGGCATGAGGAGGAAACACCAGAAGAGCTGTAACTTATAAACTGGGGGGGCGGGGGAGGGGAAGGTCGGGGGGAAGTTTTATAATCCTCATCAGAAGCCTTCTTCACTCTTTTGCATGGACGAGAATAAGATTTATGCATTAGGCATTTCCTACTGTGATTTAATCCTGACCCCACACAAAGCATTTCAGATCCTGAGGCTGCAAATGCAGATCAGGACAGTTTAACAGAGCCCATGGATTGAAGCACTGCATGAAAGCAGCTCAACATCCTCTGGGCACCCTTCCCACCATAACACAGGCTGCTCTGACCATGTCAAAAGCCAGTGCACAGTTGTCTCCTTTTTCCTGCCCAGAGCTGCAGCCTCAGCTAGTTCCCAAATTAAGAGTTTCATTCCAGCCTAGTTTAGATTACGTGCAGATGAGGCGCTTAGGGGCATGGTTTAACAGGCACAGTGTAGAAGGCTTTATGGTTGGATTCGATGATCTTGAAGGTCTCTTCCAACCATAATGATTCTATGATATTAAAGTCAGCGCCTTGGGGCTGAAGCAGATCTCTAGTTATTAAAAACCCAAGGTGAGGCAAGCAATGGCGCGAGAGCAAATTATCTACCCATAACAGGACCCTGAAGGAGGTTCCTCTGCTTGTGATACATGACCACACACAGACTTGGGTACAAAGCTCCCAGAAAGCTGACTGGCTTATGCTCACCTTCATTTACCTTAGTTTTAACTAGCCCTACGTTGTCACAGCTTGACTATGATGTCTTTTGCACAGACAGGATGCAGCAAAAACGCTGCTGCATAAATCAGTGCTCATCACTCCATTACTGCTACAAGACTGCTAGTTCCCAAAACTGACAAGTGAAACTCCTCTTTGTATCAACATCTCAACTATTTTGCTGTGGTTACAGTAATGCCCAAGTATTTCCTTGCAAAAGTTTTAACACAAGCTGCTAAACATCACACAATATTTATTCACTGCAGGTTCCGCATCTTTTACCTTGAATACTTCCATCGGAAGAGGAAAGTTTGCTGCATCATTAAGGGATTTTTCCAGAGCGTATTTCCACTCAGATATAGTCTTCAGAGAATAGATATCTAAAGGGATGATAAAAAGAAAAATAATAGAAGGTGACTGCTCAGGGATAAAACATTTTTGAAAGACTTAAGTCCCTGTGTCAGGGAAAGAGATAGTCAAAGTAAAATGAGCAGTGTGTATATTTGAAGCTGCACAGTGTGGTTAAATTCAACACAAAAGCAACTAGCAGGGGCACATTTGAGAAAGWTTTTTTTTCAAGTGGTGAGAAAGTGTATTATTTGTTTCTTCAACAGAAATTGAAGAATGTGTATTTGTCTGTTTTTTTACTCTGAGTCAAAGAAAAAAAAGACATTCCCCTCATTCCAATATTCAGTTCTCAAAATACCTGATATTTTGCAGGAGCCTCAGGTTTTTAGCCAATATTAATTATACTTGACTAAAACTTTGGTTCATTTGATTGGAAAAAATCTTTTTTTTTCCTTTTTTTTCCCCTCTTTTTCTATGGGGCGATATTTGTGGGAAGGCAATGAACGTTTCAGCTAAGTCTCTACCTAGACCTAGTTGTCGGTATGATGCTGAAACCAGATCATCACACCAACGCAGCAACTAATCCTTACAAATTGTGCTCACTGTAATCCTTTTTGGCAACGTCTTTGTGCAGATTCACATTGCTTTCAGTCAGTTTCTTTAAACAGGTCTAATATCATTAATTCATTATAATAACCAGCCCTTCATGATTCATTGCCGTGAAATGCCAATGAACCATCAAAGGAAACAATGCAGGGAACAATATAACGATGAAGAACATTATATTGGATTTACTTCTGCCCTAGAAAACATATTGTTATCCTGCCCAGAACAAGTTATTGCAGAGCATTCATATCAAGGTCTTAAAGAGACAAGATAGGTAGATAGATTGCAATAATTATTAAAATGGAAATGAACATTTACCCAATAATAAACTTGAACCTTGATAGGGAGCGAATAGCAGGAAGCTTTGCTTTTGTCAGCTTGGATCACACCATTTTATCACGGTTTAATTTGGCCCAATTTATATTTAAATTCTGCACATCTAATAACCAAATGTATTTGCTGGTTAGAAAAGATTTACTGCAATATCTTGCAACTCCAAAGAAAATAAAAAATAAATAAAGAAGGAATTGGCAAGCACTGTTTTTACCTAGCACTAACAGTACGAGAGAATTTTATGCTCTGATCTTAACAGATTTAAGACCTTATCAAAATAGGATTTGCAGAATCACTCGCTGGAAGTGGATGTATTTAGACTTCCACTATATCAAAACTCGCTACTTCAGACAGTTATCAAGGATATGCATACAAATTTAACACACTTAAAGGAAAATGTTAACCTTTCTAGGCAGTATTTTGCATTCCTTGCCTGTCAGATTATTAATGGGAATACACATTTCAAGCCTGTTTAAAGCAGGTACAGCGGTCGTGTTAAGAAGTTCACTCTTCATTTAATCATTCATTATTTTATAGATCTGTTGCCCCAGTTCTTCCTTTCCTCAGATCAGCCTGACACGCAGGAAGGGAACCAACTTGCCTCATTTCTCCCTTTGCAGCTTAAATAACAGGGCCACGATCAAATCTTCCTGATTTTGCCCCAAGCTGCAGACTGCTTATTACTTCAGCTGCCTTCAGCATAGACCAGCAGAAGCCCCAACAGTCTCATCTTTTATGAAGCTTTCATGGTGGGACAGCAAGGAAAATATGGGGAAATAACTCCCAGAACTGACCACTGTTGAGAAGACCCTAAAAAGCTAACCTTAGTGGTCAAATAATGCAAATAGCACATGTTTTAAAAAAGCTCTGTCCCAGGGCATCATTGCCTCTGTATCCTTTTCTACGTATCCTGCCATGACATCCATCCTCTACTGACATCCATCTTCTTGCCATCTATCCATCTTCAATGGCAATGAGACACAGGAAAAAAAAGTAGCATTTTCAGTCACTCTGCTCAAAATCAGTGATTTTTTTTTTTTTTTGGTGAGAAGTCAATAGGTTTTGAAAGATAAAGTCAACTTCAATGATTTCCATAACCAGAAAGCAGTATTGTGTGTGCACGTTCTTAGACAGGGGCAGTTGACTTATGCTTACAAACACTAAATTGCACGGTTAAAAGAGCACTGAGCCTGCTGTTTAAATGACAGTGTTGCAGGTAATTGAGCTAAGTGTACTGTGTCAATCTGTATTTAGGGTAACAAGGAGTGTGGAATTCAAATGACTGCCAATTTAACTAGAGAGTAACCTAAAAAATGAGACAATCTCTTCCTGCATGAACAGGTGAAGCAAGACCAGTGGGTCTATGTCGAGGGGTTTCTGCCAATTTGTACTAGCTAGAAGGGTTATTTTGGATTTGGTTACACATCTGAGGAGAAAACACATGTTACTGTATGCGTGTGTGTGCACGTGCGTGTGTCTGTGTGTATATATATTAGGAAGTTATAAAGAAGATCAGATGAAGATCTGAATTCATTAATAAAAATGTTCAGTAATAGCTGGAGCTAATAGCCAAGGAAATGACAAGGAAAGAAAATATGACTGATGAAGAGATATAGACACAGAAATTCAAAAAGCAGAGAAATTGGGGAGAGAAGTACACACAATTTTGGCAAAGAAACCAGTCGAGTGTGAGGACAAGTTAAAGAAAAAGAGGGAGGGAGGGAGGGAGAGAGAGAGAGAGAGAAGAAAAGAAATCAGATAAAAGCAGGAAAGGYAAAAAGAGAATAGAATAAAATGGAGGACATAAATAGGTGATTAGGGCCATTTCTATATCGATTTATTAAAACTACAAAGGACGAGAGGGCTCAGATACGATCAATGTAAAGCTGTTTCTCTGCAATGGAAAACACTCTGAAATAACATAGCGATATTCATGCTCTCTACTGTTTGCATTTAATTTAGTAGTGAAAGGGAGCATCGACTCCCTACCTCACCAATGAGGAAAAAGAAGCATTTCTGACAAAAGAGAAGACCCCGAGTTARATCCTCAGCCTGGAGGGACCCTGTGACACTATCAGGGGTCACAGCTCCCACTCACATTTGATGGAGAAGAGTCACTAAAAACATCTTCTCAAGTAGAAACTACACTCAAAGCAATGTGAACCCTAGAGAAAAAGAGCATATTTGTCCAATATCTCAACACGTCAGCAAATTCAGAGCACAGAGGTTGCATTTTCAGGGGATTATTTACCTGCAGGTGGGTCCATTCTGTATTTATTCTCTTGACACCAACCGACTGGTCGAAGTCTGCAATCCAAGTAAAACAACCACTGGTCATAGGATTCAGTCTCCTCCAATCCCACATAGCGAAGGCGTAATCTTCCTCCAACATTTTCAACCACACTAACTATCCAGTACTGACAGGGATTCTGGGAATCCTGCAGCTCTATTAAGGAATCAACTGTAATGAGGTCTACAGGGTTTTTTCCTCGCAGAGGCTGTTTGAATAGAAGCAAAACTCCTTATTTTAAACTTTATTTGAAGACTTCTCAAGGAAACAGATGACAGCAGATTATTTTTGTTTTTTCACACCATCATCCAAGCGATCAGCAAACAGTCTGTTCTTCTTCTATTTTACCCAATGTCTTCCAAGTGCAAATTCAGAAGTAAAACAGAAAACAACAGTTGTGCTAATTCCTCAACCAATATCAACCACAACACCACAATAAAAAAAAATAATAATAATAATAATAAAAGGTGGAACAGCTCATAAGGCACAAGCCCTTAGGATGCTCCCAAATGATCCCAAGCCCGGTCATATTGGAGGATTTCAAACCAAATTCTCATTGATTCCAGCAGATAAGAACCAATCACAGGACTGAACCCTCATATTCACTTAAACAGCATTTTTTATGGCCCTGAAAGCCTTCTGTGTGCTGAAATTTCCYACCCAAAAGATGAGCTTGCTCCTACAGACATGGATAGCACCATTCTCTCCACCTCTACAGGTTCAAGAGAGTCATTTCTCCAAAGCCCATCAAGGCCAACAGCAGATTCCCACCAGCTTTCATGGGCTTCAGCTCAGACTCAAGGCACACAGGATTTTCTGGGTCAAGACAACAAGAAATGCCAGTGAAAGACGCTCTTTGCCCACACACAGTATTTTCTGTGATCCCAGTTTTGCAACCATTTGCACATGTGCTTAACTTAACACCTGCAAAACTGCCAACTGCAGGCATTAAAAAATCATGAGATGGTTTTCAAAACCATCCCTTTGGGGATCTGCATTTTTGCTTTACAATTGTGAGACCGTGTCATCAAGCTATGACACACAGCTTTCAAGAGTCAATATTTTACTTTTTTTTTTAATCCAAGTTCACTTTTCAGTTTCAGGGCTTTAAGAGCAACACTAAAAATTACTGTCAGAATTGGAAATAGTCCTCCCTGAAGCAGACTCAGGAGTTCTTAAGAGAGATACTAAGCAAAGGCAAATTATGCAAARGATGAGGTCAATCTGTATGTGTGTTTCTGTTTGTATGACTTCAATTTAATTAAAAATATATATTCTTTTCAGGRTATTTTGAAAATATTTATTTTGTAAATCAGAGTCAGCCTGTGAATGGTTCTTTCCAAGTGTGACAGGAAAAAGAGAAAAAGAGTGGGTTTTTTTTTAAAAGAGAAAAATCTCTTTTAGCTTCAAAACAGTCAAGTTTCAAAAATAACCATAATTCTGAAATACAACTAATTTTGATTTCCATTTTAATATGCCAGAAACACAGGTAACAGAACGAGAATTTGGTAAAAGCTTAGTTACAGTTAACTAAAATGTAATCACATGTACAGCTTTAACCTGCTGTATGATTAATAGATATTTCTCAWACAGCAAATTTGCCAGTTCTCTATTGTATGTATTAGAAACAGCTGTATAATCACCTCTAACACTATTTAATGGCAAAATAGTCTCAAATGTTAATAAAATCATGGAAATCCACTTCCATACGATTTTTTTCTGCATACAGCAGCTTCATTGCAACAAAACATTTTTAACATGAAATGACAGTGTAATGATTTAACTTATTACAATAGATCCTGAGCAATAAAAGTGTTAATATTGCTGATTTGTACACTAAATCCTAAGTCAATGGGGTTGTCATTTCCCCCAGAGAGCAGAGCAGCTACGATGAATAATTGGGTTGCATGAAATATTAACATTTACCATAATGCAACAACTCTTTATATGAGTATCTAGAGTATTAAAAAAATAAAAATAAAAAAAAAAAAGCATCATTGCATATTGATTTAACAACATGACAACAGTCTGCAGCACTCACGAACAGCAAATCTGTCGACAGGGAGTTACATGCACTGCACGCCACGGACGCCACTAAACACATATACTGCATAAAACACCACCGGAGAACAGACTAGGGAGTGTTTCAAGTCACAGTACTGTTTCAYTTCTCTGCATTTTTGTCCCAGGACTACATCTTTTCCTTGCCTGTCGAAAGGGAAGTGGGAGCACAGCAAGCTCCAGCAACAAGGTGGCAGAAGGTATGGGCATCACTTGAGGGAATGCAAGGGCTGCCACTAGCCTGGGTGGAGAAAACCCTGCTGACTGGTTATGTGGGAGAGACAAAATGATCAAAAATGGTGCCTGTAGGTGCCCTCACCTTCCCAAAGGCCAACACAAGTGCTTATAGAGAGGTAAAACAGGACAGGTCCTTCTGGAGAGGCCGTCCACCTCTCAAAGTGACCCAAAGACATCAAAGAGAGTCAAGGACGCCCAAGGATAAGAGTCCTCATGGAAGTATCACACGGACTTGGCCATCTGCATCTGCAGAAATATCTCCTGTCCTCTCGTGATGGCTACTGGTTGAGAGCATCTGACCCAGCTTCCCTGCTAGATCTGACTTCTGCTTTTAGATAGGCTTCGACAAGGGGCCCTTTTAGATAGATCTTGGGAATCTACTTCTAAACACACACAAATCTGAAAATGTTCCCCCCTCAACCTAAGCTTCTCTTCAACCACGATCAGACTCAAAAGTCTGGCCATCAGTTTGGGGTCCTAATGGGCTGCCTCTTCCTTACTACTGGCTCCCCCAACCTTGTCCCTCATCGTCCAAGCTCTTACAAGCACTAAACTTCATTAAATAAAAGGTAAAATAAATCACCCTGTAGCTTGGTCAGAAGCAGAGCCAGGGGAGGTCAAGGTAATGTTGCTGCTGCGTCTCGGCCGGCATGGCTTGGGGACACTCACGGCACATGGACATTGCAAGCACACAACCTCACACGCCGGACACCGCTGCAGCACGAACACCGYGACACATTATCAGAGAGAAACTGCAATCTAATACATACGCCTTCCAGTAAATTTGCAGGTGCAGTCCGGGCGCCTGTCAAATCATGTATGAGAAACTCCGTCCAGTCCACATATTTCTCTTTGATTGCTGTAAAGGGTAGGGAAAGAAAAGAAATAACTTAACATGGCCCATTGCAATGGAATTATCACATGAATCTTAGGGAGATTTCCTCCAAGATTAGCAGTCCCGTGATCTGCAGCCAAGTCTTTAAATTTGTGGATGCAATCAAAGTTTAGACTAGGAAAAAAAGGTGGTTCTTTGCTCAGCTCCTTGGGGTGCCCTTGCAAGCGCATGCAGCTAGGTCCYAAAGTAAAGGAAGGAGATCTTGCTTCACTGCAGGCACCGGCAGTGATTTACGGCACCGTGGCTTATCATCCACATCGCTCTTATTCAAAATTAGTCCCTGCTTGCACAACTCCTCATTTCCTGCTTACCGTGTAGGCTCAGATATGATTTATAAGGTCTCTTTCTATGTTTTCTAATGGCCTCAGAGAAAAGAAGTTATGCAAACTTGCAATTCCTCAACAGGACCATAGCAGAACTCCAGGCGCTTTTCCCCACCAAGCCAAAAAAAAAAAAAAAAAAAAAACCTTCAGAACATTGTAAATCAGCAGTATTAATGAACTTGCACGTTAAGAAAAACTTGAACCATTTATCAGGAACATCTAGTTCACTTGACAAAATTTGCCAGGCCATTTGTTTTGAGCCAAACATCACCAATCATAAGCAGTTTTTTATTTTTAATTTTTTTTCTTTTTAGGAGTGTACATCAACACAGTTTGAAAAGATTCAAACTGAAATGGATAAATGCTGCCTGAGGGAATGAAATTCTTGTTCTTCAGTTCTCGATAGAAGTAGTGGAAGTTGGGCGCCAACATCCCTTGGGCAATGCAGCAAATCTCTGCTTCAGAGATTCGGATGCCTCTTCCAATTCATCCCATGCATTCACAATCGGAAATCCTGAAAACAGACTTTAGTTTCTCCTGCCTATAAATAGGGGTTAGATCACATCAGAAACATTCTTCTCTCTCAAAAAACTTATTTGTTAAATAACAGAGAAGCATAGATCTAAAACATAGCAGCACCTGTAGAAGGGAAAAAATATCACAATCATGCAAATTACAAGCTTTCCTCTAAACAAGCAATTAGGTTCAGAGTTGTTACCCCGTAGAGGAGTCCGGGAAAGTCAGGACTAGAAAACAGGCTGGTGTCAAAGACTGTAGCTCCAAAACAGCAACTTTTTGGTAGCCAATATGTTTGACTAAAAGGAAGCGATAAGCTCTGTAGCACGTTGGGCTTCCACAGAAACCACGGTGGAATGTYTACACACTTTGAAAAGCTCAGCAAACGTTGACCCCACAGCCGTTCCCCGAGACAGGGATCAGCTGCTGCATTTCTCTGATAAAGCCCTGTTTATTGGCACAAAACCAAGCACGGCACACCTGCATGTAGGCTCAAGCACTTAGATTCTGGCATAAACTCAGGACCATACTCAACTTACACCCTCACCATCTCAAGCAACTCAAGCATTTGGCCACAAACAAGGAGACTTATACAGCTAGATGTCATTTCTGAGTTGTGCCCCTTCTCTGAAAACCCTTTTTCCCCATGTCACTTAAAACTATGCATTTACTTTACAGAGCTAAACACTTTGCAAGTGCATTTAAGTGTATCTAAAATCAGCAGACTTTTAAGCACTGAACTTCAACCTCTACAAAGTAATGCGAAAACAGACCCGGAACTGCACAAACTCTTTTGTCATCACAATTTGCTATGATTCCTGGGAAACCTAAGACCTTGCCAATAGCCATCACGACTTGTTATGATTCCTGGGATAACCAAGACCTTGCCAATACTTGAGATGAAGGACTAGCCTAAGAAGAAATAGTTTATACGCGGTGTCTCCTCTTCCAGCATTCTCATCGCATGCACCTCATCAGCTCCCGTCCACCTACATTAGGATACAAGTGACGAGCTTAATTTTGGCATCAGCGAGAGCACAGTAATTGCCATAATGAACGGGACTGGAACCCCTCTAGCACAAGCTTCTGCCTCTGACTGTGAACAGCCCTGGAGGCATCGGATAAAGGTGCAAGTTGAACTTCATCTTGGCTCATACCCACAAAGTTGTCAGCCAAGTTCTGAATGCCAGAGCCTCCTTACTGAGGACTGACAAATGTGATAAAGAGAACTCGGTTCGAACTTTCAAAGCTGGCAGGGGGGAAAGAAAGCGTCAGGATATTCAGTCGACAACAGATTTTAGATGCCTCCATTTCCAGATGCCTGATTTGAGATGCCATAACCATGCCCAATCTTGCTTTCTCCGGGCTGTTCCCTGTTCTTCAGCATCTTTCAACACAGGCACCCCAAATCCTTCATCTTTTTTAAGAAGTTTCCATAAGATGTTTCCACCCCCCCACTTTCTGACAGCTAAATAAGACTGAGTCTTCAGCAACAAYATTGAAAACAGCGTAACAGACTTCCCTAGTTCAAAATAAGCCAGGCTGAACCYCATCTTCGGACCAAAACAGCTCATCTGAAAAACCAAATGACTCCCACTTCTAGATCAGAAGCAATCTCCTCAGGCAAGTTTCATAGCTATGATTTTGCTTTATTTTTCCTTCACCTCTGGAAACCTTCAGGAGAGAAAAGGTTGCACTGAAAATCTTGAGGAGTAGGGATATGCACAGCATGACCAGGGCTTCCCAGTATGGCAGTGCAAGCCACTACAATACACTTGTTTTCAGTAGCAAAAAAAGCAACTCTGAATCAGCACGGTACCTGGAAAAGCCTTTAAGGACCAAGCAAGATGTCACACAAGAATATTCAAACAAAGGAAAATCTTCTGGGTAAACAAAGAGYTGGGTGCCCAACCAGAGCATCCATTTCAGGAAGCACTGACCCTCACGGAAGACGACTGCAAATATGACCCATAGAGATGCCAAAAGGTTTCTCCAGGATTTCAGGCAATGTCCCCAATTGCCAAGGGAGAAACACATGTATGTGGGCTCACACACAGGAAACGTGGCAGAAAGAAACCTTCTTGATAAATTCCTCTATAGAGAGGAAGGTCCTTCTACAAAAGCCATGTGGGACAAAGTACCTGCTGACTTCAAACGTAAATATTCTGATGGGTCTCCTCCAGCTGCAAAGCATGGGAGGAACAAGCATAATTGCTTTCCTCCTCATCTACATCTTGATGACCTGCAAAAGCTCAAAAAGCTATAAAAAAATCCCCAAGTCAGTATTAAAGTCCCCACTACTTCTGCCTGCATGGCATGGTAGGAAACATCCCTATTTCTCTGCAATCCAGGGAACCTCTGAATCTGGGAAGAACACTTTTACTCAGGTATAAAATCCACTCCAAGGAGGGATGAGTCTCAAGGCTACCCATGCCATTGCAAGCCCACCATTCCCTCGCTAGGCACAGCTTGTTTGTGAAGGGGACAGCTTGGAAAGGGACATTCACCCATGCCACCATGGAGCTCCAAAAAAGCCCAGTCACATGAAAGTATCTGAGATATTCTAGCTACATTTGGGGCTACTTTGGGCATGATATCCTAAGAAACAAGGGCTGACCAAGGCAATGGGGACACGATTGCATTCACTGGTCCTCTACAGCAGGAGTCTTTGATGCTTTGTGAAGACGTGGAGCTCGACAGAAAATCCTGGGACGCTCACAAGTGCTCCGAGCCCTAACCTCATATTAGTGCCAGTACAACGGTCCTGTACAAGGCCTGCTGTGCAGAGAAATGAGGAATATGAGATTGTGCTGCACTCTAAGACCCTAGGGGCCAACAGCAATCCAATTTATCAGAGGGAAGGGCAATGATTCGAGAGACAGCGTAGCAGAAAAAAAGAAAATAAGACTCAATTTGGCGCCCTCACTGATGTAAAGGCCACAGTATGAACTGAACTGAACGATTAAACACTAGATAATCCAGAGAGGAGACACGTATTAGCGATGCTCTCACCATGGGAAAAGCTTCAGCACCTGTGCCTTATTAGCTAGAGTTGGACTCAAATGCAAAGCGGATATAGCTCAAAGTGATGCTCCCTAAACTCATAACTACTTTTCTTTCCAGTCGACACCAGCATCCTGCTTTGGAGCTGCATCTTGCTGACACAGATGTATGAGTTGCCTTTGGCTCAGCTTCAGCTCCTTTCGGAGCCAGCACGGTTGGCTGCTTTCACACCTCTGCAGCTCCGAGGCCAAAGATTTTAAGGCATCTTCGAGCCGCAGAAATCCTCCAAAAGTGCTTAGTTTTCAGCAAAGTAGCTAAATAGGCCTGGAGCACATGAAGCTGAGCTAAGGTGCATCCCTTAGGTTTTAACTTCATCAAAAACAGAGCTCTCAATAACCCACAAATAATATTCATCTTTCCTTATTTTGTCACATGATTCATCCTGGCACCACTTTTGGTCTTCCTGCTTTTTTTCGCTCCTTGCAATTTTCTCACTTTTGCACACCTGTCTCATTTTCCCATTTTTTGAGCAAACCGTTCTGGGCCGCAGCTGCATCTGAAGGTGCAAAACCAGGCTGGCAGCTGAGAATTGAGGCTGGGGCCACCAGTTAAGTGGAAATGCAATGTACCATCAGCACAGCATGTTGGGCATTGGATTTTTCCCTGTTTTTCACTAGCACCTGCTCAGAAACCATTTTTTGCTTTGCACTCTGCATGCTCCTGGTGATCCAAGGACAGACACCAGCATACTGTAAAACCTGCATTACCAAACCCACTACAATGCAGAAGAGAAAATAGGACAAATAGCCATTTCTTGCCTTCTTTCTGTAATCTTGTAATTAAAAAAAAAAATAATAAAAACCAATCTCTATTATTCTGGGTACTCCAGCAACCTGCCAACATCTCCACTACAGAATTACCAATGGTCTCTATGACCTCTTAATGGTGCTGAGATTTACTTTCCTTCCATGAGAAGGAACAGTATCAAACAGCTTTACAAAATGGTTCAAAATCACCCAGATAAACCTGTAAAGCGACAATGCTCTCACTGCACCAACTAACCTTATTAAAGTTTCAGTCCCTCCTGGGACTGGAATGAACCAAAACAGTTAGCAGAAGGAC